ATCCCAGATTCAGTGCTTGGAGGAGAGCTGTGCAGAAGCATACTGGGTGGGCAAGAAATCATCTTAGTGTAGCCACTGGGGCTTCTTTGTTCCCACAGCATGTTACAGCCTCATAGCATGGTCCCACATACAGCACAGCTATTTACCCCTGAGTTGTGGTGGGGAAAGTGAGATGCCATGTGTGCAGTGCTCTGGGTGGTGTTAATCTTTCTCCCTCCCATGGTGAACTAGATCAGCCTCATATAGTAAACACTTGCAAGGGGCTGGCACATGCACTGAGGTGTGTCTGAGGCAGGGGAACTGGGTCCTTGTTGCCTGGAAAGCAATTTAGATCCTTTGAGCACCACCTCTCAGCCTTATTGGTTTGTTTTATTCTAATTTTGGTTCCGGTGTTAGGATTTTCTACAAATCTCAACAGGAGGTAGCTTCTTGGTATTGGACCATATCAAGTTTAAGCCATTCCTTCTTGGCTTCACTTCTCAGGTGTTTTTTTTTTGTTTGCTTGTTTGCTTTTTGGCTAGGAATAAAGGCACTTCCTGTGAATATGGGTATGCTACAATATGTTTATGGCAGATGTGTGACTTTTATTCATTCAACAAGTTTTTATTCTAAGTCTTCTAGAAGGTCTGGGGCTGGGACACAGCAGAGAACAAGAGATTTGGTGGTGTCTTCACAGAGCTCAAGGGGCCCCACAGGGTTACAAATCATGGAAACTCCTGTGGGAGGTCCACTGAGCCAAGTCAGGGATGGCTCTCAGGAGAACATAACATCTAAACTAAGGGCTGAAGTGGGAGGCACAGGCAAAGAAGGGAATGTAGAGTGGGGGGTGGCAGAGTGGGAGGAGAGGCTGAAGCAGGAGGTACAGGAGATGGTGACGGATAATGTTAGGTGTGTTTCCACCTTCATCTAAGTAATTCTGTCCTGTTGTTGAGCAGGTACATGATAATGATGATAAGACAGTTCTGTCCATAAAGTTTCACTCTTAGAGCGTTTCTGAACGAGAACCAGCACATCCATCATGGCACTCATTATTGGAATGTGAATTAGGAATCAAGACTCAGCTTAAACATACCTTAGTTCGGGCTCCTATAACAAAATGCCATGCACTGGGTGGCTTGAAGACAGAAATTTATTTCTCGTAGTTCTAGAGGTTGGAAGTTGGAGATCAGCATGCCAGCATGGTGGAGTGAGAGCTTCCCGGTCACAGATTCCTTATTGTGTCCCCACATGGTGGAAGTGACGGGCAAGGGAGCTCTCTGGGGCCTCTTTCATAAGGCATCAATCCCATTCATGATGGCTCCTTCCTTATAGCCTAGTTACCTCCTACAGGTCCCACCTCCTAATACCATCACCTGGGGGTGAGATTTCAACTTATGAATTTTGCGAGGACACATTCAGACCATAGCAAGCATAATCTCTACTCTGAAACTTTTCTGAGCACATGTGGCCTGTCCACTTAACAGCTACACCCAACCTCCTCTCCTTTGCTGCCTCCCACTATAGAGGCTGAAAGGCCAAATACTCACTTTTCCAGCTTCCCTTGCAGCTAAGGGTGGTGATGTAACCCAGATCTGGGCTGTGAACCCTAAGTAGAAGTCTATAGGAGGGGCTTCTAGGAAAGCAAAATCTCACTTGAGTCAAAAAGAAGAAAGAAAAGGAACACGTGAGCTGATCTAGCCCTTTTGCCTTTTCTCTTTAACCTGCCTTGAACACGGACACAATGGCTGGAGATGCAGCAGTCATCTTGTGGCATGTAGGACAAACCAAAGAAATAGCGGAAAAAGAAACCCCCAAATCTTTGAAATTGACCTACTCCTGTAACTTCTCACCTCCAGACTTCTGAGTATGTTTAAAACAACAACAACAGGGGCGCCTGGGTGGCTCAGTCGTTAAGCGTCTGCCTTCGGTTCAGGTCATGGTCCCAGGGTCCTGGGATTGAGCCCTGCATTGGGCTCCCTGCTCAGCGGGAAACCTGCTTCTCCCTCTCCCTCTCCCACTGCTTGTGTTCCTGCTCTCGCTGTGTCTCTCTCTGTCAAATAAATAAATAAAATCTTAAAAAACAACAACAACAACAACAAAACATCAACTATGTTCAAACCACTATAGTGATTTGCAGCAAAAATCAATCGTAATTGTTACACAATGCTGGGTAGAACCTAGTAGTCCTTCCTCTGAATTTCCGCCTTACCTGTTGTACAGTCTTCCTTTCCATTATCCCTGAGTATTATTTTTGGTTTGTCTGACTTTCCCAATACTGAGATGTCCTTGGGGTCAGGGACTATCTTACCGTTTGGATGACCCCAAAACTATTACAGTGCCTGGCACATGATAGCTGCTTAGGACTATTTTGTCAAATGAGTGAAGGACCGAATGAGCGATGTGGCCATGTGGGGATGGTGTGGGCAAGGAGACCTACATTAGTGGTGGTGAGGCCAGTGGAGAGGTTGGAGCAGTAAGAATCCAGGCAAGAGGCAACGAGACCCCGAGCTAAAGCAGGATGATGCAGATGAGAGAGAGGACGGAGTCAGGGCTTACCCAGGAGGCAGAAGGGACAGGACCTGGTTAGGGCTTGGGGAAGAGGAAGGGCTCTAAGATGGCTGAGAGCTCTTCAGTGCCCGTTGGGTTTGGGTTACTCAGACATGTGGGTGCCTTAGTCATCTCGTCTGAAAAATAGGGATAATAGGAATGCACATGTGGGTTTGTTGTAGGAGGCAAATGACAGCGTGTGTAAACTGCTTGTAACAGTGCCTGGCACATTGTAAGTGTGCGATACATGTTATCAGTTGTCACCATCGTGACAGGAGAGCAAGAAAGCAGGCAGGGTGTTGAAAGAGAGGAGGGTGAGGACGAGCAGGAAGGGTGGGGGTTCAGGAGGAATGAGGAGGAGGACCCAAGTAGCTAGCAGTGACTTTAAGATGTTCAGCAGCTTCTTGGTCTCAGCCGCTGGAAAGAAAGACTTTATTTAAAGCGGGACTGAAAGTCATTTAATGAGCTCAAGAGGAATGGGATTAGGTAGAGCCTGCTTTTATTCAAGACTTTTGTCAACTGGTTATGCTGCTTTGATTATTGTTTTAAACATGTCCCAGAGGGCCTGGAGTAAGAAATGAAGAGTGGAGGATGCTCATGTTTAATGTGAAGAGTTGTAAGCTATTCTGGGGCACAGTCGGAATCTCGGGAGGGTCGTGCCTAACAGATTTTTGAAACAATTAATGAAGCCTAAGAGCAAGAATAACATAAGAGGCACAGTGCGAGGGCCATTAGCCTCGAGGCAGTGGAGGACCCTGTGTGATCAGGCAGGGCAAAATGGCGGGAGAGCAACCATGCTCTCGCTGATGGGACCAGGGGCCTTTGATTAGGTTACAAGGGAACAATGACAAAAGCCCCACTTACTGCATGCCTAAGAGGGTCCAGTATTTTACATGTTCCTCTAATCCTCTTGATTTCCCTGCAAGAGTGAGTTGTTATTATTATGCCCATTTTAAGAAGGAGAAAACTGAGGATTGATGAGATTAAAGAACATTTCCAAGATCCACTAACCAGGAAGAGGTAGAACCAGGATTGAAACCAGGTCTGGCCAAGATTTGGCCATTTCCTTTTCACTGTGTTGGAGCTCGTGACACTGCTGCTCAGGAATTTTATGGGAGGAGTTCTTGCCTCTGTATTACAGGAGGTGCTTTTCATCTCATACTCAATCTGGAAGTTTACTTCTTGAAAGAGCAGAGTATAAACACTCTATCATGTCCCAATCATGGACAATACGTGTAAATTGAATACTTCAGTTCAATCTAACAGACTTTTGTTGTGTGTAAATAGATGGTTTCTGATTTCCAAGTGACCCTGGCTCCTGGGGGTGGGTCTGCAGAGTGGGTCTTCGGTTTGTTACAGTTCTGTCCGCCCTTGGTGTGGGCTTGCAGGGCCGTCCCGAAGCTTTGAAGGAGTTGAGACCATGATGGAGTTTCCTGCTGGCCCCTTTAGGCACTAGAGTATAAGATCGCTAACCTCACTGCAGAGAAGCTTGCATGGGTTTGGTTGTGTGGCTGATGTCTCGAGTCCCAGAGCATGGTTTTTTGAAAGTATCTTCCTACTGTGCTGTAAAAGGAATTATTCCAGTCCTCTGCATGCTGGAGGTGGCAAGGGTGGTGTTTTCTTTAGCAGGAGGAAGGAAGCATCAGGATAAAAGCATTTCTGTAGTCCCTGCTTTCCCATTTTTCTTTCTCCCCAACTTATTACCTCCTAAGACCGCAAAGAGACCTGGCAAGTCTTGACCTCGTCATGGAGTAGAGACAGAAGTTGACCCTTGTTAGGAGGGCTGCCTGGGTGACTCCAATGGTGTCAAAGGGGTTTGCTCAGGAACAAACTGTTTTTCATCCTGACATCTGCTCATTTCAGGTGCTGGACCTATTTTTGGTAGCCAACTATAGGAATTACTCCACACCATCCCCAAATAGATCTCATTAGCCTATAATTGCTCCGAACATCTGTGGGCTTATGTGTGTGCACATACATTTTATAAGCTTACTCAAATAACAAGTCTGATTTAGAGTCTTTTTTTCCCCTCAAGATTTTATTTATTTATTTATTTATTTATTTATTTATTTATTTATTTATTTATTTATTTATTTATTTGAGAGAGAGAAGGAGCAGGGGGAGAGGGACAAGCAGACTCCACGCTGAGCATGGAGCCCAACCTGGGGCTTGATCTCACAACCCTGAGATCACAACCTGAGCCGAAACCAAGAGTCCATTGCTTACCTGACTGTGCCACCCAGGTGCCCCTGATTTAGAGTCTTAAAGACTCTATGTATTTTTCTGTACTTCCTCATGATCACTGGCTCCTCTTTCCCCACCAGGGTATAAAGTCTTTGAGTAAGAGAATCCATTCTGAACAAAGCCCGGTCTGAACATGCTTTTCTGGTTGTGCTCAGGTGCCCAGGTACCTGGGGGTGGACAGAGACACTCTCATAGGAGTCGAGGGAACAGCAGGAAAGAGTGCGCTGTGGGTTTGCACGTGGCTCTAGACCTGAGACCAAAGGTGAGGGATGGCAGACGGGGACTCCTGTAAAGCCAACATTCTTCTTTAGAAGTAAAGTGTGTAACAGGTGATAAGCCAGGCCCAAAGGAGAGAAGTCACTGGAAGATGAGGATACTGGAACGAAAGAAAGTATATTTAAGCACTTACTAGCAACGTGTTTTTCAGTTAAGGAAGAAGTGCCTCCGAGCAGGTCCGGAAACCATAGTGGATTTCTAAGGAAGTGGAAACCGCTCCTCCAAGATGCCCTTAGCAGCAGCTGAAGCATTTGCACGGGCCTTCGCTCGCCTCGGGCGCAACGCACAAGCCGGGACAAACAGGACTCAGCGGTCCTTACTGCAGCTCCGTGAGACAGGCAGTCTCAATCCCGTGTCACACACCCAGCCACGGAGACACAGCACCTAAGCCCCCGGCTGGAAACCACAAAGGGATGCAAGGAAGGTTTGCCTCTAAACCCCCAGCTTGTTCTCTTTCCCCAGTTTTGATGACTAAGCTCGGAAGCAGTGTCAGCATGAGGCAGTTCGGCGGTAGAGCATGCACCCTGCTTATTTCACAGGGCTGTGGTCAGGATACAGAGCTTACACGTGTGAAAGCATTTTGAGGACCGTGCGATGCTATCCGAGTAAAAAGAAGCATGATTACTGTGATCATTGGGTCATTTCATTTTCCAACTCTGTCGATGGGTTCTTAGTGTACATCACGTATGCAGTCACTAGGGGGAGGCAACAGACAATGCATATAAGCGGACTTCGTCTTGGAAGCAAAGTGGATCTTGTAAGTGATGCTCAGGGGTTTAAGATAGAAAAGCAAAGGTTTTGCTGGCAGCCATTCTCATCAAGGTTTGATCTTGTGTTTTTGTTGAAGTGTTTCCACAAAGGCATCCTAAACTCCTATGAATGGTTTTGAATAGTGGATATTGCCCCCCAAAATGAATGGACGATATTAAAGGTGAAGAATTGACTCTTTCTCTTTGTTCTCTGACTTCTTGCCTTCTGTCTCCTTTGTGATCATTTTTTTGTGGAGGTTCAGCTTCTCCTTCTTTCTCTCCACTTCATTTCACCACAGTAAGGTACATTCTTGACCCTTCCTATCCCTTTAATAGTGTTCTTCTGAGCTGGCCTCTTTGACTATTGTATATAGACCATTTGATGGCTATTTCTATGTCATTGTCATCTGCATTTTTCTCTTTGATGTGTTCTCTTTCCATTTTTCTAGAATTCAACTCCCTTCTGCTAGGTGGAAAAAAATGTTGGACTAGGAGTTCAAGCCCGGTGAATACCCCTTACTCGCTAGTTGACCTTGAGACATAGTGGAATCCCACTGAGCCTTTGATTCAGGGGAAATTACAATTTCCATGTTTGCCATCCAGGCAAAGCACTATTTATTTTGTAACCCATATTAATCTGGCTCTTGTCTCTGCTGTGTATGCAGAATTATCCAAATAGTCCACCTACTCTCCTACTTGAAGTATTTCTGGGAGTCAGTCCCCGGGTACTCCTGAAGAAGCCCACCTGCAGTGTCTATTCTGTTTCATCAGATGATCTCTCAGCCAGAGTAGATTCTTCTGTGGCTTCCCTGGCACCAACAGAGCTGCATGGGGCTCTGTTGCTAAAGGGAAGAGTGGCTCTCTTACTTTTGTGTTACTACCTGTTAGAAGGGTCCCAAAGCAGTATTGTTAAAGCTTCCATGGAGAGTCGCCTCTCTCTCACATTCAGGACTAGCTGGAGGTGGATTCATATAATAGCCCCCACACTTTTATCTCGAGACCCTCTATCTCCTTTAACAACCAAGGACCAATCACTTGTGCTGAACTCCTTCCCCGTAGAATGTTTCCCACCTTTTTCCTCCCCTCTGAAAACAGGTTGTCAGGCATAATACAGTTTTTGAACATATTAGAGGACAAATCTTGAGTTCTTCCCACAAGACTATGTCCCATGCATATAGACTATTGTTAGACTGGTTCCTATGGCTACTGAGCATGTCTGGACCCCTATAGTGGACAACGGGAAGCTCTGGCTGAAGATAAGATCTCTGTTTTAGTTGAAACCATAAGTATCCTCTTGTCCAGTCCTTCATGGTTCTTCTTCCTTCGTCCACATTTCCCTTAATCTTTTTCTTTCATTTTATTTTTTTAAATTATTTTTTTAAAGATTTTATTTATTTACTTATTTGACAGGGGGCGGGCAGAGAGAGCACAAGCAGGGAAAGCAGCAGACAGAGAGAGAAGCAAGGCTCCCAGCTGAGCAGGGAACTTGACGCAGCACTTGATCCCAGGACCCTGGGATCATGACCTGAGCCGAAGGCAGATGTTTAACCCACTGAGCCACCCAAGACCCCCATTTTTCTTTCATTTTAAATACTGCTCTTGTGTGTTCACAGAAAAGCTGAAGGGGACATGTCAAAAGAACACATAATTTGTTTAAAGGGGTTTCCCTAACCAAATTTGGACCAACTTGAGTATCAAAATTAATATTGACAGTAATGGATAGTAACATATTGCATTAACAAAAGAATCTACCAGTCTACATTTATACTAAATAAGAGAGGGGTGAAGGAAAAGCCTTTCTTTGTAGAAGAATGCCAGTTAATAAATCCAGAGGAATGACAGAATTACAAAGCCATCATTTTTCAACCACCATTATCATAATTAATTCAGGTAAGGATTACTAATGGATGCTAGAGCCATTGGGTGAGGGATATTCTTACAGTCTCAAAGCATCATCCCTTACATCACTTACTAATTACAAAGCGAAAAAGGCACTTTTATGATGGAGAAATCTGGCAGACACCACCTTAACTAAGTGATCAAACAACACCAATAATGGACAAACCAACCTCATGGCCTCTGATGTGACACATGAAGATACAGTATCACCCCCATGGGATTCTTGCCAAAAATGTTGAGCCTGAATCTAATCAAGAAGAAAGAGTCAAACACCCAAATCAGGGAGCTATCCCAGAGTAAAGGAAATTAACAAGACATTTTAACTAATGCGATGTATGGAGGCGTCTGCGTGGTGCAGTCAGTTAAGCACCTGACTTGCTTTTCCACTCAGGTCGTGATCTCAAGGTCATGAGATGGAGCCCCACGTAGGACTCTACATTTAGCCTGGAGTCTCCCTGAGAATCTTTCTCTCTCTCCCTCTGCTCCTCACCTCGCGTGTGCATGCTCTCTCCCTCTCTCTAAAATTAAATCTTAAAAAAAAAATAAATGCATGGGACGCCTGGGTGGCTCAGTCGGTTAAGTGTCTGCCTTTGGCTCAGGTCATGATCCCAGGGTCCTGGGATGGAGTCCTGTATGGGGCTCCTTGCTCAGCAGGGAGCCTGCTTCTCCCTCTGCCTGCCACTCCTCTGCTTGTGCTCTCTGTCTTTCTGACAAACAAATAAATAAAATTAAAAAAAAAATGCAATGTATGATCCTTGATTGGATCCTGAATATTGGGGAAAAATCAGACTTTAAAGGACAGCATTAGGATAATTGAGGAAATCTGAATATGGCTTGTAATAGTATTATGTCAATGTTAGAAATTATAATTTGTATAATAGTGGAAAAGTTAAAATTAAATTAGAAATAAAATAACATTCGTCATTGGGACATCTGGGTGGCTTAGTTGGTTGGGTATCCAACTCTTGGTTTCAGCTCAGGTCATGATCTCAGGGTTGTGAGAGATCCAGCCCCACCCAGGTCGGGCTCTGTGTTTAGCCCAGAGTCTGCTTGAGATTCTTTCTTTCTTTCTCTCTCCCTCTGTCCCTCTCCCCACTCTTGCTCTCTCTCTCTCTCCCTCCCTCTCTAAAATAAATAAATAAATCTTAAAAAAAATAATATTTATGCATTTGTGTCTCAGAAAAATAATCTCTATTTTTTTTTTTTAAGTCTCCAAATTTTATAGGCTGGTAAATATTCCTGTGATATTTACTTGTTCCTTTTCTGATCTTCTCTCTCAATTTTCTTTGCTTTATTTTTTGGTTACAAGGATCTCACAAAGAAGAGGGAAAATCATCAAGAAATGGCAATTTGAAGGGCAACCTGTGTTATTAGCTGGTGTTTCCCTTTGAGACGATTGTGGGAGAGCCACAGCCTTTGAAGGCAGAGGCCATTTCTGTTTTTGTTGGACAAGTGCTTTTATAGTACTGGTTTGGGGTAAGACATTTTTACTTCCTTTGGATTCCAAAAGGCTGCTTATTTAAAAAACCCAGCATTTTATTTCTTTGCTCTTTCAAGCTCAATACCCAGGGCAGACTCCTGGAACAATGGAGGCTCAATAAATGGGTCCTATGGATCGCATAGCTCCTTGGGCTCTTCCGTGGGCAGTGAAACCTGTAGTTCCTTGCCAAGAGGAGAAATGCTGTTGCTATTTAAAAATTACCATTATTATTGTTATTACTGTTATTATTGAGTTCCAAAAGTCAAAAAACCTGGAGGAGGATAAGGTTGACTTCATAAACAATAGGATTGGAAAAAATAAGTAAGGACAGTCTTTCTTGACAAATGCAAACTTTTTATTGGCTTTGGAGAAATTTCTTTGGTTTTATTTTTTGAATTAGCAAATAAATTGAATTTGATGTTAGGAATATTTCAGTGAAAGGATCATATCATGAGAGCCCAGCAGCAGAGGAGAGATGTTGATAGAAACTCCAGATAAGTCTAAGTGACCCCTGTGTTCTCTGTCCTTGAAGACCACAGAGGTGGAGAAGTCGCAAGTGATGGGGGGATAGCCAGGGGGCCCTGAGGCAGCCTGGTGGGACCCTGGTATCCCATCTTAGTGCAATGAGAATACCCAAAGGTCCTATGCCCCCTAAAGGGGCAAGGAGGGGCTGAGAGAGGTCCAGACTGATGAAGACACGGTGTGCATTGACATTGATTTAAATTTGACAAGATTAAGTTTACTGCCTTCAGGAAAATGGGGGCTCAGATACCAAAAATGCTTTATATAAAATTAATGTTATATCCTGACAGTCTAAGTCAAGGCCATGAAATTTGAATGGCTATATTTATTTTGTTGGGTTTAGCTGGGGCCTGAACAAATGAGCAGGCATTGTTCTGGTGTTACCAAGAGTGGACTGCGTCTGAATTTTCTTTGCCCGCTTTGTTCTGGATTAAAAGGTTTCCCAGGACTATGAAGCCAGACTCCTTATTTTAGCCCAGTTCTCCTGGCCCATCTGGGATTCCTGAAACAGAAGGGCTCTGAGTGGTTTGCAGTGGATCTTCTTCCACATTTCCAGAGCTCACTCCCTATTCTCAGTCTGTGCCCCGTGGCCTGAGATGATGAATAGGACTGTAAAGGTCCTGGGGACACGGGGCTCCAAAGATGCTCACAGTAGAAGACCATCTGCAGTCCTGAAGAAGCAGGAGGTTCTCTTCCATCCCACACAGCAGGAGCATTTGCTGCAGTTTTTCTTTCAGCAGTGCAAATAACTTTCCTGGCTGGTGGGGGTGGTTAGATGTGAGCGTTGGGCAGAGGAGTTGCAGTGAGCATGGTGCACCGTGGGGGAAAGGGGAAGCATGCCGCACCTGGGGCGGGGGAAGGCAGCATGGAGCGCGGGGGAGGTAGGGTGGGCACAGGCCATGGCTCCCCCCCCCACACCCTGTACAATCTCTCTCTGCAGGATGAAAGGCTGTGTTGGGAGGCGGCAGCTCAGAAAAGCCACTAGCTCCGAGCTGCTGGGGACCTTTAGGTAGTTGTGAAGGAATCACACGGGTGAGTGAGACTTGCTACTAAAGCTGCAGATTTCCACATAACTTCCTTGGGTCCCCACAAGTCTCACTCCTGCTGTGTGGGATGGAAGAGAACCTCCTGTTTAGAATCGCAGGAAACTGCGATTCTGTTTGTGTTCTGAAGCTTGGGGTTTTACATCTGGAGTAATGAACTGCCTGTCCATTACCCAAGAGACTCACTGTTGTAAGGAACAGAATGCCCCGTTTGGGGAAGAGAAAATAGGATGCCTCCTACATCCTCAGAAGAGTGTCGGCCAGTACTAAATGGCTCAAGGATGGTCATGGAGTGGGGAGCTGGCTTTTGGGGAGCAGCTGTCTGAGGAGGAACTTGTCTATTTTTAAGGACTTACTCCAGCTCCTCTTCCTCAGCACTCTGGGCCCCCCAGCACTCCTGATGAAGACAGGTGATCCTGCCTCCCTGGCTCACCTTTTAATGGAGGGAGCAGCCATTTTGCAGCCAGCCACCTACTCTAGAAAGGGTACTGGGCAGGACACAAACCAGCTGCAGTTTCTTTACCTGGAAAAATGGGAATGGGATGAAGCTGAGTAAAGGAGGACAGCACATGGCAAAAGAGGTAAAAGATGCAGCTTATTATAAAGGACATTCACATGACAATGCAAATACAATAAAGCAAGAAGTCAGGAGGAATAAACAAGTTTGTAAATGATGGGATCAAATGTAGTCACAATTTACCTCCCAACTTTTTGGCAGCTAGGGCAAAAAAAAATGAAGTATAATAACGGGCAAGAGAATTTCTATTTATTAATAATAATAGCTAATATTTCTTTTTTTTTTTTTAAAGATTTTTATTTATTTATTTGAGAGAGAGAGAGAATGAGAGACAGAGAGCATGAGAGGGAGGAGGGTCAGAGGGAGAAGCAGACTCCCCGCCAAGCAGGGAGCCCGATGCGGGACTCGATCCCGGGACTCCAGGATCATGACCTGAGCCGAAGGCAGTTGCTTAACCAACTGAGCCACCCAGGCGCCCCAATAGCTAATATTTCTTGACTTTTAGGTGCTGTTTAGACACTTGCCAGAGAATGTCTTATTTCTCCTCACGACAGGTCTATGAAGAGATTCTATTTTTTTTTTTTTAAGATTTTATTTACGGGGCATCTGGGTGGCTCAGATGGTTAAGCATCTGCCTTCGGCTCAGGTCATGATCTCCAGGTCCTGGGATTGAGCCCCATTCTGTCGGGTTCCCTGCTCAGTGAGGAGTCTACTTCTCTCTCTCTCCCTCCCTCTGTCTCCCCCCCCCCCCCCACACACTCGTGCTTCTTTCTCGCACTCTCTCTCAAATAAATAGATAAACAATTTTTTTAGGGGCAGAGGGAGAAGGATAAGCAGCCTCCATACTGAGCACAGAGCCCAATATGGGGCTCGATCCCAGGACCCTGAGATCGTGACATGAGCTGAAATCAAGAGTTGGACACTTAACCAACTGAGCCACCCAGGCGCCCCTGAAGAGGTTCTAATTTTATGCCCATTTTTTATACAAGAGAACACAGAGAGAGAGAGAGAGAGATGTTACATAAGTGGGAAGTGGTGGCCCCAGGTACATTAGGCTGACACCAGAGCCCAACATAAAACCCTTGGCCTAATGCTATGCTGCCTGCCTCAATATATGGAAAAGCGCATGCATACTTCTTTCTGGCTTCTAATGTGCATCATCCAACCAAGAGCTAGAGAGGAGGCCCAATGGGCCCAAACTGATTTAATTTGGTCAACATTATGTTTGTGGCTGGAAAGTGGAAAGCCTGTCTCAGAGAGCAGGTGCAACAAAGCATTGGATGTCTTCCATTCCTGAAGGTCACTTAGAGAGGTGGAGGGGCAGGGAGCTCCTTGCCTCACCTATGGCTCTAGGGGAGTCTCACTGTGAGAAACCTGTGGTCACTAGAGACACATATTTCAGGTCCCTTTCTGTTGGCTCTCACACAACCTCCAGATTTTGCCAATTGCAGCTGTGCTGAAAATTAGGAGCAAAGACTAATGACTTCCTTTAACTACATATCATGTCATTTTATCTGACACATCTCAGGGTGCCCCCTTATTCTCTTGGCCTCACCTGCCTCATAGACACAGCTGTTTCCTCCCTCTCAGCTGTTGCGGTGGGGATCGACTCTGGCAAGGCTCTGGTGTGGTTCTGATGCCCAGAGTTTCTGTCTCCTTCCAGCACTTCTGGATGTGAATAAGCATCATGCCATGGGTGTGTGTGTGTGTGTGTAGGGGGCGGTTCCTAGCTTTCTCAGGGGTAGGGGCCATTTAGTGCAACTCAGAAAGGCAGGGAAATTAAATGGGCCACATTTTGGCCAGTGAGACTGGAGATGGGTAAATTCCCTCTCCATTCTTCCCTGTGATGGACAGCCCTGTGGTATGTATTTTTTTCTCTTTATAGCCTGGAGATGTCGTGTGTGGCCAAGTAGGTACACTCATTGGACAATGGCTGTCTCTTTTTAAGACTTGTCAGGAAGCAGTGGACAGCACGGTAAGACATGAGCTTGCATTTACTTTCCATCCTTCCCTAACTAACCTTCCTTTCCCTTCACTTTATCGCCCTGGCACTGAACTTCCCAGCTAAAGTATTAGCCTTTAATCCTTGCCTAAGGAATCTAGGCTAAGAGTAGTCGGACATGGGCTTTGGAGTTCAAAGTGAAGTTCCTTCTGAATTTTTCATCTAGGCCACTGTCCTATGCCATTCAGTTTTAAGGGAAGGGACTCTGTCCATGGACCAGAAAGTACAGGAAGCAGAACCCGGCAGCTATGTGGGAGATGTGGGCTCTGATCAGGGAGACTGATCTCCAATGTCTCCATGGCAAGTCTGGGATGGGGAATTCAGAATCAGAGGACTACGACCTCTCCCACCATCTTTCATTTCCTTGCTGTTTACCTGGACCTGCCTTGATAAGGCTGAATCTTCTCTCTTTCATCTATGCAATGGTAGGTATGCTTTCAGCCTTTAAATCTATTGTACTTAGATGATCCAAATTCCTCTGATTGAGCCTGATATCATTCCTTCCTAATAAACGAAATGATGGCTCAGCCCCCAAAGACTGCAAATCTCTGTTGTGAATTAATGATACGAGCAAGTTAACTATTATAACTTTCCATTCTAATCACTTGGAATGAATTCCTTTGCTCTGATGTGACTGCCAGATTCCTGTGGGACTCTTCACAGATGAATTCTAGACAACTGAGCAACTTGTTGGCAAACAAAGAAATAAGAACTGGAACTTTTTTCTCTACAGGGACTAAGAAAATGCTGACAGAAGTCCTGGTGTCCTCTGACAATGCCACCTCCTTTAGCTAGTCACTTGGTCATCTGTTGGCCCTGGCTGTAGGGGAGTCTCACTGTGAGAAACCATGTGCTCACTAGAGACACATATTTCAGATCCCTTTCTATTGGCTCTCACACAACAATGACATAACCTAAGATTTCATGAGGTGATGAATCTCTAAAAATCCAATTTAGGCCTTTAGGGTTTATGAAATGTCTCCAAATTCTTCTGTAGATATCATAATGAAAATATCAGATCAAAGCCACCCCATAGCAAAGCTGCTGAACCTCCATTCCAAGCTAATGACGGGGGGCTGCCTTGGTAATGTCAGTATGAAAGAAGCTGCCTTATTTGAGAAGAGAAAGTATTAGTTCATGACTTCAGAGTTCCTTAGGCTGGGTCAGATTGTAGATAAGATGTAGGAAGGTCTTTGAGGGGCTGGGAAAGCAACCCAGCAGTGTATAATCCACAGCTTTGTCCTTTTCCAGCTCAAAATCCTCAGCCCTGATGCAGAGAGGTACACTGTGACGTCTATGCCCCTCAGACTGAGACTGTCAGTGCTTGGAGGAAAAGTCATTTAAAGTGATCCACCCTGGGCTTCTCAAGAAGTTCCATTTGGGTTTCTTGGGGCTCTGGCCTCAGAAGCAGCAGTTACCTAGGCCTGCTCTGAAAGGAGCTCGTCAGTTTCGGGGACAACCAGGATGAAAACAGTCTGATGCATTTGGAGTCAAAGACTTTTTGCTATAGGGTTCTTTTGGGATCATAGACCTGTACACAGAGATCATTTCCCAGTGTTTTCTTGGTCATATCTTTGGTGCCAGAGTGTCTGACTGTTGTTTTGTCTGGAGATGCCTCCAGAATTGACTACAGACAATTCAGACTGGGGTCTGGTTTCCCTTGCTCTGTAGACTCAGCAGGACTGTCAGCTGATAGGCTGTCACAAGCCTTTTGAATGCAGACACAGCCACTACTCAAGTTCTTTGGTCTCTCAACTTCCTTCAGTCTGTGCCAAGCTTTTAATAGCTGGGCTGAACCATTTCTATAAAGATGGCTGGGTAAATTTCTATGAAACAAGGTGACAAGATCGCATTTCCATGGTGGCATCATTCTGTTTTACTACTTGTTTTGTTCATATCTCTTCTCCTTCCTCTAATATCTTTTTTCCCCCTTTTTTTAAAGGTTAATCAAGTAGGGGCCCCATTAGGCTGTTGAGGCACTCAGGGTTGCTGATTCCTCCTGGAGTGCTGAGGGGTAACTAATGTTCACAGATGAGAAAGGAAAATACCTTACTCTGAAAACCCAGAACACTGCTATATACACAGAGCTGCTTCTCTTTTGGGGGGGTGGGGTCGGGGAAGGTTCTGGCATTCTCTTTAGTTCTCTTAACACTGTGGGGCTCTCAGTGTCAGAGAAGATACTCAAAGGGGAAGGTCACCTGATTTAGGCCAAACTTGTCCTCCCTCCCGCCACCAGTACTGGGGGAGAGGGGCAATGACATCTCTACTTGACACCCTCCCCTTGGCACTGGTATGTGGATCCCCTTAACGGTTAGGCCCCGGGGACAGTCCAAGGCCTTGACTTCCAAACTCCTCATTTGGGGGGAGGGGTTTCAGATAAAGAAGTCAGAGCTGTAAGATGTCCTGGCAGCTGCCCCCAGCCAGCAGGGGGCAAGGCAGGGGGCTACAGGCGGTGGGTTGGCACGGTGGAGGGGACAGCTTGGTCAGGCTTCCTGGAGACCCCCCAAACCCCACGAGAAGGGTCTCACTTCCCACAGCTCCCCTAAAGGCAATGGTTAAGTATGCGGTGGGTGGGGGAGGCACCAAGTAGGTGTAGAGACACCCCCCACCCTGCTCAGCTCCTGGGCCTAGCACAACACTGGGCACAGAGTAGATGCTCAATAAATGTGTTTTGAATGAATGGATAATTGTGACAAAGAGGGTGTGAGGGACAAAGGACAGGGCCTGGGGCCCCTTGGCCTAGCCTGTTTCATTCAGAAAATAGTTTAAAAAATGTAAAAATCCTTTCCCTCCCTCTCTCCAATTTATGGGCCCAGGAAAGAGGTGAAAGAAGGATGTATCTACCTCAACCCTTCCCTTGTCCCTTTCCCTAGAAATCTACGTACACATATATATTTATATAGCACCACAAACGGGTCCTACCGGTCCCGCGCTGTCTGGACGGAAGACGTGGGAGGCGGGCGCGTGGTCCCGCAGGTCCCGCGGGTCCGCTACTGAGTCTGCGCACTTGGCGAACGGGCACGCGCTCGAACAGCTCGCCCATTGGCTGCAGGAACTCACGCACGTGGGGTCGCCGCAGCCCGTGGGCCAGGTGCCCGCCCTGCGGTCGCGCCGGGGATGCGGAAGCCGGCCTTGTTCACGGCCGGAAGGGGCTGCGTGCCCGGGGCTCATCCCGGGTGACGATCACGCAGATCTTCCGCGTCCCGGGCCTCGGCCCCAGGGTGCAGGTACTGGACTGGGGTCCTGGGGACAGCGCCGTTCTCCTCCACCAGCAGGGGCATTGCGCTGTGGGCAGAAGAGCAGAAAAGCCGGGGGAGGATGGCCTGGCTCTGGGGCTTCTGACAAGTGGCTGACTCTCGGTCACCTTTGCCCTGTAAAGGGCCGCACCTCCTCCTTGCTGATCTGAATAATGGTGGCGGAGCTGTTTATGGGGCCGGTACGGTCCGTTCTGGCTGGGCTCCGGCCGGGGCATTCGGCTTCCCCTCCCTCTGGGCTAGGGTCAGAATTGGGGCGTGGAGCCAGGTGTTGAGGAGGAGTGGGAGGGAGGGGCACGGAGGAAACACCGTTACCACGTGGACTTTGCTTCCTGGGAGGCAGGTACAAACATGGAACCTCCATAGCTGCTTCTCTTTGATGGGGCACACTAGATACGGACTTTTTCTGATAATGTGGGCATCTCCTAGAACAGCGGTTTCCACACTTTTTAAAGAAGCAGACCCTTTCTCACGTGGAAAACTATAGCCCCACTGTATGAAACAAATAAAGCAGAGGCCTTGGTTGTGGAGGTGGGATAGATGCTCCACCCTCTTGACTTTCTCTTTCTCTTTCCTGTCTTGGCGACAGTCTATGAGCCGTTCCGGGAAACCCTGGCACTTTGTGGAACAGTAAAAACCTACCATGCTCGCAGGAAGTGTGAGCTGATATATTTGGTATTTATTGGCAAGATCATGATACTGTTAAAGAATATATGTATCGGTTTGACAAAAGCAGTTTTGAATATTGGGGATACAGTGCTGTAACTCCTATACAAGGCCATTTGAGAGAGTTAGTTTCTGCCCAGAGGGAAGTAACAACTTAAGTTCTAAAACAGACACATAGTTATGTGTATGGTGGTGATGTCAAGTTCCCATTTCCAACATGGCCACCATAACTTAGCCCAGAAAACCCCAAAGATATGAGGAAGACCCTTATAGTCTTGAGAGCTATAGTCTTCTCAACATTTAAGCGGGAGAGTTCCTTCCACCATTTCTGAATCAAGGCCCCTGGACAGTCAGAAAGCCAAAGGGCTTCCTTTTGGGTTATCTTGACTCTGTTGGTGCAGTGAAGTTGGTCTGTTCCATTTGACTTGAAAGTTACTGATAACAAATTGATAACTTTGGTGACTATTACATAATTGTTTTAGGGTATACAAGTTTGGATTGATTCTACCTCACCCATAAATTTTCAATGCCATTATGTTTCTGATCCCCATTGCTGGAGCATACCATGGACCGTTCACCAACTTGCTGGGGCTGAGCCTTTCTCAACAGGCACAGTTGAGGAGGTGTGGACAGCAGGTGGAAGTGTGTGATCTGAGGGTTGTTGACTGACAAGGTCTTATATGTGACACTAACCTACCTTGGCAAACTGGTGTTACCCTTGCGGCTTCCACTTAGCAATAGTGATTATACATTGGGATCACAGAAATTCTTAGTTGCAGCCCACTTTGTCATGTGAAAGAAAAAGGGAACAAGGGCTTGAAAATAGCTTATGGGCTTAGTCTGATAAATCATATCCCATTAATTTCCAAATATTTCTGAGAAATCAGGAAGGGGAACCTAGTAAGTTCTATTAGTTCATGACTAAGTGATTACTGATTGGTTATGCATTTTAAAACACACAAAGAATTACATTTAATGTTGTCTTCATCTGGAGAAAGATTTGTTTTGTTTGACAGAACATGACATCTTGGGGTTAGTATAGACCACTTGGTCCTCCCTGAAAATTCATAGATATGGAATTTTAAAATTTTCTTTCGGTGAGCATTAAAATAACAGGTGCTAAATTCTCTCTCCAATTTTTTGGTCCCATAGCATGGAAGTAGTAACTTTCAGGCCTGATGGAGCTTGTCTGCTCCATCCACGGGGTCTCCCCTTCTCCCTGGAGATAAGCATGAGTTCTCTCTCCTGCCTCTATCTTATGACATTTCCTTAAAACACTTTGTTCCATAAACTCTCTTCCTTGGCTTATAAAAAGACAGTGGTGCAATGAGGTTCAATATTCAGAATCTGGCACACATATTTTGTGTTAAGGGGCTGACAGATTTGAAATGAATTTCATATTTCATTTATGATGGGGATGTTGTTGACTAACACAGGAAGAGCATTAATTTGAGTTTTCTTCAGTTGGTGATGATGAATTGCCATTCATGCATTTAGTAATTATC